TTCTGGTGGGTTAAGGTACACCCTAAACCCTAAACCCTACAACCCTAAACCCTAAACCCTAAACCCTAAAACCCTAAAACCCATGACTCTCGTGGCCTCGAAGAGGCAAGTCTCGCCTGAGTTGTCCTTACTAAGCCCTAAAACCGCACAGAGAAGTCGTTGGCCCTCAGAGCTGATTCTTTCAATCCACGGCGCTTCAGCAAAGCCTCGGTGCAAGCATACCTGAGGGTTTAGGGTTTAGGGTTTAGGGTTTAGGGTTTAGGGGTTTAGGGGTTTAGGGTTTAGGGTTTAGGGGTTTAGGGTTTAGGGTTTAGGGTCCACAGACGGCTTAGGGCGTGGGGCTTCGGGTTTAGGGTTTGGGGCTTGAGGTTTAAGAATCCTGTGACGTACCGTAGCCAACTATAACCTACGATGTCGTGGGGTCCTACGCTCGCCATGCTAAGACGCTTCCAGGCCCTACAGCTACGGTAAACAGCTATCTAAACCGTATATACTATACTGAACTTAGACCCCTAGCAAAAATTATAATTTTAGCTGCTTCTTAAGGTTTATAGTAGCCAAAGATTAAAAATATATTTTTAAGTATCCCTAAGTATAATCTGCAAACTCCGAACCCTAAGCTTGCAGCCCTGAGCCCCCTATTCTCCGGGCTCTTCCTTAGCTACGGTTTAGGGTTTAGGATTTAGGGTTTAGGGTTTCGGCGTTGGGGGAACTACGAATTAGGATTCACTGTAAATGAGTTTATGTAGGGTTTCGGTTTGGGGCTTAGGGTTCAGGGTTTCGGTTTAGCCTGCGTAGTCCCGGGAGTATACCTCTCAGGTATACATGGAGGATCAAGGGACAAAAGCAGTAGGATTATAAGTAGTTGCCTTACAAATTAGGGTTATAAGCATATACAACTATAGCTAACTTACTCAATAGCCCTACCCTAAACCCTAAACCCCTAAACCCCTAAACCCTAAACCCTAAACCCGTAAACCCTAAACCCCCAGATCCTTCAAGGATATACCCAATAAGGTGCAAGGCTGTCCAGCCCCGAAGTGTGCTGACATGTCTACACGAAAACCTACGTTTCATGTGGGCTTCCGTCAGACATCATGTCAACCCCAGAGCCCGCATGAAGGGTTTGGGGTTTAGGGTTTAGGGTTTAGGGTTTAGGGTTTAGGGTTTAGGGTTGTCAACCCAGAAGACCCCGTGGCCTCAAATCGCGTAAGCTTTGCAGACCCGAAGCTGCAGTCAGATCCCTCATAGCCGTCGCCCGAAAGAGACTGAACCCTACAAACCCTCCACCGTACACTCTAACATCCCCCCTACCCCTCGCCCCCGCCCCATTCGAATAGTATCACAAGCCGATAAGCCGCTTTTGATGAGCCCTAAACCCTTAAAGATTTAAGGTTTAAGGTTTGGGATTTAGGGTTTAAGGTTTAAGGTTTAGGGTTTAGGGTTTAGGATTTAGGGTTTAAGGTTTAAGGTTTAGGGTTTAGGATATAGGGTTTAGGGTTAGGGGTTTCGGGTTTAGGATTTAGGGTTTATGGTGTAGGGTTTTAGGGTTTAAACCCTAAGCCCTAAATCCTAAACCCTAAGCCCAAAAGCCCCGAGACTCAAGAGCGCCAGGCCGCGACGTGCTCGCAGCTGCATGCAAGGCTGTGGCCCCGTCCTCTTGTCGTCTCAGGGCCCTACCCAAAACCCTAAACCCTAAACCCTAAACCCTAAACCCTAAACCCTACCCCCAGTCTCGATAATTGGGGGTTACCCATAGGCCCCATAGTAGTTCCTTTTTAGGGGTTCCCTTATAGGATTCTATATATGAACCCCAAAAAGGAACCACTTTAGGGCCTGTGGGTAGGCTCCTAGTTCCTGAGTTCATAAGCCCCAAACACGGTTTAGGGTTTAGGGTTTAGGGTTTAGGTCCGTTCTATAAGGGATCATACTATCCGAAAGAGTGAAAAAAGGTCTTCATTCAGCTACTAAGGGGCTGTTGTTGATTCTTTTTGCTTTGGAAAAGGAGGGTAAGGTTGAATTGGATTATGGAGGGGGTGAACTACTTCACTTGTGAGGCTGGTTTCAGGAGGTCTTTACCAGCACCCCTCAAGGGCCCTCTAATAGAGACCTTTTGGTCCTTAATAGTGGGTATTTGGGGTATGATAGAGTGTAGTTGGGGGGTCTAGGTAGGGTAGCTGCTTCCTGGGTCCTCATGAGCCACGGTTTAGGGAGTTTAGGGTTTAGGGTTTAGAGTTGATTTACGGGTGCGCGTGGGTTTTCTAGCCTCGGCTTTGGGTTTAGGGTTTAGGGTTTTTTAGCCTCTGCTTTAGGTTTGAGCCTAAACCCTGAACCCCAAACCCCTAAACCCTAAACCGGTTTGGGGTTTAAGGTTTTTTTTTTTTTTTACCTTGGCTTCGGGTTTCGGTTTTCGGGTGCGTGGATGAAGGAAAGGACTAGGGGTCGGCCTTGGGGTTTTGCACCCAGAGCGCCCAATACCCCTTCACTACGGCATATGCCTAAACATCATAGCCTGAAGCCCCTTCATCACCATTTAAGGTGAATTCCTAAACCCTAAACCCTAAACCCTTATACCGCATGGATCTTGGGATCTGTGGGCAGTGGAAGAGCTTGCAGTTCCCGAGGTTTTGAGAAAAAGCAGGGAAGCATGCGAGGCGTAGGTCCCCCCAGTCTCGATAATTGGGGGTTACCCATAGGCCCCATAGTAGGGTTTAGGGTTTAGGGTTTCAGGTTTACGGTTTAGGGTTTAGGGGTTTAGGGTTTAGGGTTCCCTTATAGGATTCTAGATATGAACCCCCCAAAAGGAACTACTATGGGGCCTATAGGTACCTGCAGCCGAAAAGCTACCTTCTGAGGGCTCCTTATTAATATAGGGGCCTTGATAGTTAGAATAGGGTTTTGCGGCCCAGTATAGTATAAGTATGTTAAGGATACCCCAAAATAGTATAGGTTATTATTTAGGGCCCTACCTTATTATGGTTTCTGAATCTGATTCATTAGAAAGTAAGTTCTTCGGGCCATTGGTAGGGCTCACCCCTCCTAGCACCCAGCCCCATGCTAAAACTTCAAACCCTAAATCAAAGCATGGAATCTTAAATACCCCAATGATGTTACATTCCGTGCCATCTTAATACACGAGTTTCTGTTATGCCTGCACCTTTATGAGAATGAGGTCATGCTGTTGGTAATGCG